TGTTCGCCCTCCCCTTAAATGCTACAACCCGCATTATAACCAAAGTGATAACGTATGATGTTGAATTGATTTGTTGATATTTAAATATGTCAAATAGAGGAAATTATAGAGAAATTAGATATTAAGAGTCACAATTTCTGCTGATTTTTCCACACTCATCATAAAAAAATAAATAAATATGTATATATATACACATATTATATATATAAGATAATAAAGATAATAAAAGTTAGGATAATATGTGTTAAATGTCAAAGATGGTAATAAAATGGGAAAAGAGGAGAGCGAGTGATGTAGAGGAGGGATTTATAGAAAGGGAAGGGTTAAGAAGGATAGGACTATTGAGTTATTGCAGTGTATCTGTGACTGGGGAAGAACAGGAACAACTTCCATGAGAAATAGAGATAGCTGTTGGAAATGTAGAAGAATCGGGGTGGGGTGGGGGGAAAAGAGGGAGAGAGGATGGGGTATGTTGGTATGATGGGGGAAACTTCAGGAAGAGGATGGATATCAGCAAATACTTTAAATGTAGGAGAAGGAACAGGGGAATTGGAGGATGGATGAGGCAGTGGAGTGTTCCCTTGGGTCATGTTTGGATAGATATATAGATAGATAGATATACAGATAGATAGATATACCTATACATATATATATATATATAATATATATATATATATATATATATATGTATGTATGTATGTATGTATGTATAATAAAATATATATATATATTATATTATATATATATATATATATATGTTATATATATATATATATATATATATATATATAATATATATATATATTATATATGTATGTATGTATGTATGTATGCATGTATGTATGTATATACAGCCTTCACTTATCAAGTGCAAGAGGAAAACAATTCAGCAGATCAAGGAATTTTATTCATACAATGGCAAATTACATTCATAGTCCTATATTTTGACCAGACAATTTCTTTTCTTTCATACCTTGAATGATATCAAGTAAGACAATTTAAGACGTCAGTTTTGTCTAAGGTATCTAAGAAGCTAACAGCTGCTCCATGTACTTGTAAATATACAACTAAGCAAAATGTAGTACTTTATACTATAGAAAAATCATGTTTAATGGAACATTTCGATGATATTTGCATTACCACATATTTGAAAGAGAAAGCCGTTACATTTATACATACATCTTACCTTTACCAGCTACAGGTGCTACAGGTTTGAATCACTATAATTACAAACTCGAAATGTAACTCAGAATCACACTCAACTGCAGAATCATCTTAAGTAAGAAATTAGAAAATTAACTTAGATCTATCAGCGATTCAGGATTCCTTGTGTTAGTTGCAGATTTACATTTATGCAACTAATAATTGCCTTTAATGTCAAAGCTTCGGTGGATCTGTCTGGTAGTATCCCATATAAAGGACTCTTCATGTAGGCTCAGTTGCGGAAACTTAATATGCGCCCTTTTGAGGATAAGGCTGATCTGGGCCTGGTTCGTGTGGGAGACCTGGGGCCTGCTGTGGGTATGGTGGAGCTGCTGCCTGCTGTGGGTATGGTGGAATTGGTGCCTGCTGTGGATATGGTGGAGCTGCTGCTTGGTGTGGGTATGTTGGAGCTGCTGCCTGTTGTGGGTATGTTGGAGCTGCTGCCTGCTGTGGGTATGACGGACCGGATTCCTTTTGTGGGTAGTATGGTGGAGCTGAATCATGCTGTGGGTAAGATGGAGCTTCTGCCTGCTGTGGGTATAAAGGAACTGCTGCCTGCTGTGAGTATGGTGGAGCTGCTTCCTGCTGTGGGTATGGAGGAACTGCTGCCTGCTGTGAGTATGGTGGAGCTGCTTCCTGCTGTGGGTATGAAGGAACTGCTGTCTGCTTTGAGTATGGTGGGGCTGCTCCCTGCTGTAGGTATGGAGGAACTGCTGCCTGTGAGTATGGTGGAGCTGCTTCCTGCTGTGGGTAAGATGGAGCTTCTGCCTGCTCTGGGTATGACGGAGTTGCTGTCCACTGTGGGTATAGTGGGGCTATTCCCTGCTGCTGGTAAGGTTGACCTGTTCCTTGCTGTGGGTAAAGCTGACCTGCTCCCTGTCGTGGGTAGAGCTGGCCATCATACATGGGTGGATGCAGCGTCATGGGCATTGCCACCTGTGATCTGTTGCAAAGCATCACACATCCAGTCACCGCAACAGGTACTGTGGATAGGAGAGTATATTAGTGGTTACTGACAACTGAGTTTTGACAGTATTATGCATATATAAGAATGCAAAAGATATAAAGTTGAAAGTTAACGCAGCAATATTAAGATGTTTGATGCAAGGAAAGTGAAAGTCGTTCGTAGTAATATTCATTACTAAAAATAGTACTGATCATTTACAGATGTAAACTAAGAAGAACTGTTTATCAAGATAATATACACACATAAACGCACACACGCACATATGGATAAATAAATATATATATATATATATATAATATATATATATATATATATATATATATATATATAAAACATTCTCTCTCTCTCTCTCTCTTTCTCTGAACTTAGATATTAGGAGTTACTTCATATGTAGGGAGTAACTGGGCTTGGTTCACCACTCAAGTCGTGCAACCTATTCCCCGGCCAAACACGCTACAGATTTTCATCACATATCTATAATCTTTCGCGCAATTTACAGACAAATAAAATCAGGAGATTGTAACCCCCAATCCACCCCTTTTGAAGAGTTAACAATTATACCAACAAGATGAATAAAATTATTACAAAGATGATAAGGATACTGGATTTTTCAGCATTACATGGGAAGATGCAATTATTTCCCGCAGATAAATTTTCAAAATACAAATTTCACACGTCAAAATACAAGTTTCACACTTGTTATTACAGTTATTATAACGCTAAAACTCGAAGAACATACTCTCCATGCATTAAACTAGCGGAGAAGCCCCACCCCTCACAGTGTACCAGAAGAAACACTAGACAAGTAAAAGGACCTACTTTCTTATGAATTTTAGGTACAGTGTTTAGACACACAGTCATACCCTGGCCTTTGGTGGGATTTCTACACCACAAAAAGAGAGAAAAAAATACATTGTTATCAAATACCTTAGCACTTCCTTTTTGCGAGACATTTTTGTAGGTTCCTTAATCTTTTCCCTGATTTGTAGCACTTATATTGAGTTCTTTAATATGAAAGTTTACAGTTGTCTTTGAATCCCCTGTTTCAAGGAATCTTTATCAAATATTCTAGCTTGTCCTTACTTTGAGGATTTTTTTTTTTTTTTTTTTTTTGTCAATTCCCTGACTTTCCTTAATTTGGATCATTTCAAAAAATTGTGACCTGCCCAAATAGATTTCTAAGAAATGATAATAGTATGATTATTATGATAATAATCAATGATAATGTTAACAATAATTCTGAAAATGATTATTTTTTATATCACCATCATTATTACTATAATAATAATATTGAGGATAATAATGAAAACAACGGTAATGACAATTGTTGTAATAAAACAAAATACCGATAGAGATAACAGGAAGAACAATGACTATATCGATAACGTAAAGGACCTTTCTTCGGCAAGCTTAGCCTCGAGAACAGCAAGACTCCCAGAGATCCCCAGAGAAAACGTCCCTTGGTGAATATAAATAAACCAATATGGCGGTAAGGAACGATCTTTTTTATCAGACATTTTTCTGGGTTCCGAGTCTGATTAAAGTGATTTTCTTGGTCATATGAGATTTAAAACTAGTACTAGAACATTCTGTTGTCAAAACTGTTCGAACGCTCAGCCATTTTGGAACGGTTTTCGTAACTGGCAATGCAAGCTAAGATCTTTATAAGTACTTACATAGACCTTGATCGAGGCTTGCATTCCGTTTGGCATTTAGTGGCGCTACGAAGCGCATGGTTTCAACGTAACGAGCTGAAGAAGGATACTTGTATTTTATTCTGCTGTTGCGAGAAGTGGCGCGCTCAAGGTCTATAAGTATTATAAGTACTGATAGAGACCTCGGGTACGCCTAGCAGACGTCGCGTACAAAGACAGTAGTCTTTGTAGCGCAAAACAAATGTTCCGTTGTTTCCGACAGGATGCAAGGCTGGTATGTTGATTTTAGAGAAAGTTGTTTAATTATGATAAATGAATAACATTCATCTTGAATAGTGACATCATTATCAATGTATATCGAAATACTGATGATCAATTTAAATTATGGAAATACCTTTTTTCATTATTCCCTGAAACTTTTGCTAAACATTACAATTCATACCTGTAGCACATGCAACGGAGTAAGAACTGGAAAGCATAAAAAAATATTAATAATCACAATGAAGATAATCAGAGAATAATAATGAAAAAATGGGCGAATAAAATTATAGGAAAAAAAACGAATGAAGACAAAAATACTCTCAGCGTAATACGAAACTGCGCAATAACATATTGATGACGATACCTGCAGAGCACAGAAGAACTAATCCTGTGATCGCTAAAATCGAAAAGACAGTGCAGTCAGTGTCGTAGTATTCGTAGTCGTCGCCGTCGTCCGGGCAGCCTACGGCAATACCAGCAATTATTAATAAGCCACCAAGAGCTATTCCCAGCGATCCAACTGTAGTAATGATATTTGCTGTTCTCTTGGTAACGGTTGCTCCACACATCTGCCAATGGTCAAACTCGTATGTATGTATGCTTCTAGTTTATTGATAATGTTTTTTCTTTTTTTCTTTTTTAGGGGTGAAATTAGAAATATATATATATATATATATATATATATATATATATATAATATTATATATATATATATATGTATATATTATATATATATATATATATATATATATATATACAAATATACATATGAAATATTTCAAGTGTACTCTAAAAAGGACCGATTGCATTACACAAAGTCTTACCATCGACGCCATCTTCAATTTCCGTCTATTGTTTCGTTCTCAACTGCAAGTGAAGTTAAAGTTATGGAGAGTTATCATTAACAATATAAGATTGTTAATGTACAGATCGATTGTTTTTGTCTTATCATAGGGAACTGGTTATTTCTCAATAGGCTATCTGATATTTTTTCTCTGCCACCCACAAATCCGTATCATATAATGATAAGAATTATAATGTAAGAAATAACTATAATGTAAGAATTATAATGGAGATAGTGAAATGTGTATTGTAAGTAATAATAAATCCGCTGACATAATGTTGACTTGATAGAGTGGCGTTACCCAAATACAGGCTATTTCCATGTTTGGTACCTAACGAGTCCATGGAATGATACAGTATCCACAATAAAAACATAACTCACTGACCTGAAAGCCACCGTACTTAGCAACTCTTTCGAACAATACCGATATACAGAACACACCACACGACATGCAGCACGAGAAGCAACAGTCGGCCAGGTAGTTATCACAAGGCACGTCTTGTTAGCAAATCTAGCTTCTTATATGATGTGAACCCATACAAGGCCGGAATAAGATGGAATGAGGATCATGTTTATCCTTTTGAAATATAAAACGTTTATCTTAATTAACTTTTAGACAGGGAAAGGTCCCAACAACCCACACAACCTAGGCTTTATGGCATTATTACACAAGGTAAAATATCCAAAACACTGCGACGTCCAGACGGCCCGATCTCATCCTAATAACATAAGAAGCATTTTGCAGACAAGGCGACAGATAGGGGCCTCGATTTAGTAATTTAGTAATGATGAATGTGCACTGCAATGCCTAGTTTATTAAACTGTTTATCCCGATCAGTCCCAGTATCTATTATTTCTATGATCATGATCATTATTATTTGTATAATCGTCACCAACCACCAATTGTCATCATCATCATCATCACTATCATAATGATAATAATAATGATATTAATACTAATAAAAATCATAATACTATTGATGATAAAAATCATACTACTACTCCTAATAATCATAGTGTTAACAATGATAAAATTAATAGTAATAGTAATGGAAATGATAATGGCAGTAGTAAGAATGATAATGACAAGATCATTGTGATAATGATGATAATAATGATAATACTGATAGGTAATAATACTGATAGATAATAATAAGAAAATCATAATAATGGTAATAATAATTTAATGATAACTTGAACCACTCAGAGAGGACATACTTCCGCCAAGGCAATAAGGTCAATGATGAAATAAAAATATTCACCCTTGAAGAATTAGATTAAAAATTCCTGGATCCTGATCATGATCCGGATCACCAAAATTCAATGACAGGTAATTTGGTCTGAATGACACCTTTGGTAGAATTCATAAAAAAAAATCTGTTCATAAGTTTTTGAGCTATCCTGCTAACCAACTAATTAACGAACAATCATTTCTGGATCCGGATTACCACCGAAGTTCAATGGCATCTAAGTTGGGATAAGACACACCTTTGTTAAACGTTTCATAAAATCTATTCACAACTTTTTGAGTTATCCTGCCAATCAACCAACCAACGAACAACCAGCAAAAAATCCTAGATCCGGATCATGATCTGGATCACCAAAATTTAAAGGCATCTAGGTTGGTCTAAAAGACTGGTAATAAATTCTTAAGAATCTGCAAATTTTTTAGTTATTCTGCGATCAGTAAATTAACGAACAAAAAAATAATCCTGCGATTCGGAATACCACCAAAATTTAATGACATCTAAGTTAGATAAAACACACCTCTGGTAAACATTTCATTAAAATCTCTTCATAACTTTTAAAGTTATCCTGTTCACCCACCTACCTAACGCTACCAAAACATAACTTCCTTGGCGGAGGTAACAATAAGAATAAGAATGACAATAATAATGATTATAATAATAGTGATAATAAAAATAACCGTTAAAGATATATTCAATAATAACAGTAGCAATAGTGAGGAGGAGGAAGAGAGGAAAATAATAATTATAAGGATCATAACAATATTAATAGTAGTAGTAGTATCGCCAATAATATTGATACTACAACTACTTATGATTATAATAATAACAATAATGATAATGATAATAATAAACGTAAAACAAAATCTATAATAATTACTTATAATACTGATAATGGTAAGCATCACCTTAATGATAATAATGAATAAAAGGAAGATAATAGTGATAATAAGAGTAACAATAATGATAGTAATAATAATAACAAAGCTGATGATGTTAACAATAATAGTAATGATGATGATAATGATGATCATGATAATGATAATAATATAATAATAATGAAAATATCAGTAATAATCATGATACGTATTACATTGAAAACGATAATAATAGTAATAATGATAATAATGGTATTAATGATAACGATGATGATAATCAAAATAATAATAAAACAATAATAATAATAATGACAATAATAACAATAATAATCTAATGATAAAATGATAACAATTATGATTATGATGATGATGATGTTAATAACAATGATAGTAATAATAACGATAGCAATAATAACAATAATTATTCCACAGGTAAAAAATCTAAAAAAAAAAAAAAAAAAAAAAAAATCTGTCCCACAAAATAAATTAGCCTAACTTGTTTTTTTTTCTGTGGAACTCATATATGTTTTTTTTTTCTATCAGTCATAATTTCACTGTGAGGTCATGTTTGAACTGTATTCACTAATTCACAAAACATCCTGGTATTACAAGCCTTTAACCTAGAACCGCGAAGTACACCTTGTTTTTTTAACTTTAAATCGCACACAAGACGATTCAGATCTTCCAGACTCAAGAAATACGGTTCACTCGAAGAACAGTTAGGCTCAAATGTTTGGTTCATATCACTTGACCTATCATCATCCAGTGTTTTTTCTTTCTTTCTTTCTTTCTTTTTGAGGGTCAGGTACAGGTTAGCTTTGATTGTGAAGTATTGGTGTCATAGCACGTGGTAAATTAGGATATTTTACAGCTTGGATTTAGGTGGTTTGCCGTGTATGTTGGTCATGCAGAAGTAACAACTGAAGTGTTATCTTTGGGTTCTCTCCAAACGGTAGGTATGGCAAAAGGCTTACGACGTGGACCTTTGGCCTGTCATGGGTTCCACTACAGCACATTATTGACCGAGCTTTTATCCTGGTTCCCCACTTTCCAATCAAAGTAGGGTTCATGACATTATTTCAACCAGTGATGATCTGGTATATGAATGATACTTGGCCACAAAGAAAGCAAAAACAACTGGAGTTCTTTACACAGTGTCTTGTCATTTGTTGAACGGAATATGCGGACTTGGTAAGCGATGTTAAGATCCCAGAAGTGAATCCTGAGCACAGTGCGGCAAGCGAGTTCAAACTACACGCATAAAGGTCGATCGACGAGGTGATGGACCGCTAGTGTGTTCAGGAAAACACTTCCAGCACAGCACTGACTGAGGTACGCGCGTTTCACTCTGCGTTTTCAAGCTGCAGTAACTTGTTGCAACGTACTGTTATCACCACGCAGCGTCGACTCAGTGCTGTCACGCTTCGATCAACGGTGCGTCCTGTTTATGAATTCGTTTTCACTCGGATGGGTTTAATTAGATTTATGATTTCGAAAGATTAATTCAGGTCATAATAAACTGTGTTTCATAAATAAAATGATAATAAATAATAAAAAAAAACATAGCTTCCATTTTCAACAGTTTAATTGGTAAGTAGCCCATACACGTAGCAGGAAATGAGAGAAATACAGTATCGTGAAATAGAAAAATGGAATGATACAGAAAATGTAACATTATTTTTTTTTTCTTTCTTTTTTAATTCTGTTTGGAAAAAATAGCTATTCCTTTTCTTGGAACATTTTTGGGTTCACCAGTGTAATGATAAATATATTGATTGAAATGAAAATCATGATAATATTGATAATCGATAATATTAAGTTTTGATAACTAACAATATTAACGATATTGAGAATACGGCTACATCATGGATAGAAAAGTATTATCAATCTATTTTTTTTTTCTTTTTTCTTTTTCTCAAGCCAATAGTATTTTAATTTTCCAGAATCTAATACGTTAACGGAAGTTTACTTTGCAATAGGCTTTCGAAGCTGAGGAGATAATCAACTTATGAAGTACATTTTCAGCGCAAATGTAGCAATGCCTTTGTTCAGAATGTCTGACGTCGACTAGATTCCCCTTTTCTTTCGTTCTCTTCTACCTCCTCCTCCTCCTCTTTTACTTCCTGTTCTTATTTCTCTCTTCTTCTTCCTCTACTTACTTTCAATTTACCTCTCGTTTTCGCTTTTCGAACAAAAATCCGACACTCCTCGAATGTCAGCCACAGTGGGACTAACCAAAGATAAGCTATCATGTGTGATAAGGTCTCATGCCATTGATAACGCCCCAGGAAGAGCAATACCTACACCGCAAAACATTTAGTTGTTGCTTTTTAATATCAATAGAAGAAAAATGTAGATTTCCTATTCAAGCGGCCGAACAGGTAATCATCACGAGAGGTGGCACAGGCGTGAGACGCACTGTGTGATTGTAAGAGCTGCATCTGTAAGCTTTGTTTGATTAGGCGTTGTATGTTAAATGTAGAAAGGGTATTCCACGCTCTCAGTCATTTCCGATAGCGTCTCCAGTTAAAAATGTAATGACGCAAATAAATGTATGCTACATATATACGTGTGTGTGTATTTTTATTGCATCAGTGACCTTATTGCCTTGGCGGAAGTATGTGCTCTCTGTCTGGTTCAAGTTAATATTACTATTATTATCCTTATTATTGTTATAATTTTTTATATTCTCTATTATTTTTATCTATCGGTATTATCATTATCATCATTATTACAATCGTCATTATTGTCATTATCATTCTTACTATTGCCATTATTATTTCCATTACTATTACTATCAATATTATTGTTATTATTGTTAACATTATGATTATTAGCAATACTCGTATGATTTTTATTATTAATCATATTATGATTTTTAATATTAATATCATCATTATCATCATTATGATACATTCAGTAATGGATAGAACTTCGAATGGTCGTTCTGGAATTCAAATGGATTCACTGAGATGATAATTTCATTCTCGTAAGGAATGAAATATGCTTTACATTCTTCAGATAATCCAGACATACCCAAAAGTAGTTGAAAATCAATGATACCAACAGTTTTGTAGTGTAAATAACTATATTTCAAAAAGCATTGTTTCTTTAGTCAGAATGCTTACCATGATTTTCTAATGATATTATTCTGTGTAGCTGTACATTGATGTCACTATTCAAGATGCATGATGTCATTATTATCATTATCATAATCTTCATTATGGACATGGTCACCATAAGGACTTTACTTAAGGGTAAATCCACACAAGAATTCCAAGAAAAGCAAAAACTTTTGCAAGCATATGGAACCAGGCTGAACCAGGTGGTTGCAAGAAAATCTTGGGATTTTGGGATTAACACTGTTTCGATCTGTCCACATGTAATGTGTACTTTTGTTTGCAAATATAAATTTACAGCCCTTTTTCCATTGACAAGTAACTATCTTACAACACTCGAAACTGTCGAAAATTTCATTCGCGACACTTCCCAGGCTGGTCGCGATAGCAACACTGCCAAAGTTTCTATGCTGTTGCCAAAGGTGACTCCACCCCCATTCTTGGAATCGTACTCGAGGTGACGAATCTGATTTTCTTATATAATTGTTTATATTAACAAATCACTATTTGTCTGATGTAACATTAGGAAATAACAATAAAACAAGTTAGTTATCAACATCTTAAAACTACATATCAAACGACAGAAAACTATCGAAATCAATTGAAAATGCACGGGCCCTAAGCGCTTCCCATCATATTTTTTCCTTCGTATAATGACACCGGTTTCGAAGGTCACTACTTTAGATATTTTGTAAATGACAGTATTTATTAATTGATATTGACTACATGTAAAAGGATATATAATTTTACGTTTGCATATTCAGTTATACATACATAATAAGTAAAACGATTATGTAGAACCTAATATAAATTTTCATAATATTCTTTTAACCATGCAAACACATTCTGTAAATAAAACACGAGATACTTCCTCCGTATATAATTCATCATGGAACACTTTAAGAGGCCTGAATATGTCCAAGACTAAAACATAAATGATAATAGAAAAACTAACTATTGTTGCCTTACATGACATATCGAAATTAATTAATTAAAAGCGCAGGCTTACGAGAGAGGTAGTTTACTAGAGATCCACTAACTATCTGGCAGGTCCGGAGAAACTTATATATCATTTAGCTGCTTTACTGATGGTAGTCAAAAACATTGAAATTGGTAGCGTGTCTTGGTAGCTTGGCTCGGTAGCTTCATAACGTGTTGAGGTCAACTTGGATATGGATGGTGTCAGAAGGTTTGCGTATGAGGGGCAGACTCTATCTGGTCATCTCAAGTCGCTTTTGATGGAGAAGCACCCCAACAGGAAAGGTAAGGTCAGAAGGCAGCTGCTCCCACCGGATGCGTGGTTCGAGAGAGGGTGAGTGAAGTACGCTTCCACACACACACACACATACACACACACAGTTTGTATGTTTGTGTGTGTGCATATAAATAAATATATATACATACACATACACACACACACATATATATATATATATATATATATATATATATATATATATATATATAATATATATATATACATATATATATATATGCAGCTGTTTCCTGGTCATGTAGACACAGGGTTCTAGGATACTATGTCACGGGGAAACTATATCGCGGACCCATGTTGCCAGCATCCGTTTCGCAAGTGGATAAAATGTCGCGGGGAAGGCACGTTGCCATTTATGTCAGTACATCGCTGTTCATTGTCGACAGATAAGATTAGGAAGAAGTGTTGAAATTGCAGCAAAATAATTTAGTATATAGAATACATAATAACACTAGTATGAGACATAACCATTTTTTTTTTCTCTAGGTAATGAAATATTTTGTGATGAGCATGCCTTTATTGTTCAGTGGGGATCGCCATTACTTTGGCTATTTGATCCAGATATTGCAAATCTACAAAGGTATGTTTCTAATTTTGTAATAAGGGATTTGATCCTCTTATTTACGAGCTGGTACTTCTGACCCGAGGGATGCTTCCTGCCAGCTGCAACCTCTGCACTCAGAAAATTCCTCTGGAAGGCGTTCATTGCTGCCTTCTCAAAATCTGTCATTATTGTCACTGGATTGCATGATAAACCAGGCGGTATTAGCTTTAACACCTCGTACATTTTATTATATATCTCCATTCTTTCCTGACAAAAATGCATAGACGCAAGGATATGTTATACCACCAAAGTATGCATGGAGTGTGTACTGCTGCTTGTATCCGACAGGGCCACTTTAAACGTTCCATCACCAAACCAATGACGAGACGGCAAGAAATTTCGAATCAGAGTCTGCTGCGAAGATCATCACCCATCATCTTCATAACAGGAAGGAAGGCCTCCGCTTAACGTTGTCCAGAATGGCTGAAGATCAGACACACCTGCCTTTTGCCGCACTCGCCTCAGCGTCCTCTTGATGGCGTCTGCCGTTGTATTAGATGAGCCGACTTCAACTCTAGCGTAAAATGTGTTGACAATATGTGCGATGGGCTCTGCTGTTGCGGCAGCACGTTCCTTCATTGCTGCTAGTATCCCTCCACCTCAGCCTTCCCAGGGACAGCAGGATGTCTGTGGATGGGGTTTTGCCACTTCACTATTTCCCCATTAACGGTGTGAACCCTGGCACCACAGGTTCTGTTCGCATCTCCACATAACTTTGTCCTGATGGTCCCTTTCCTTCGTAAAGAGATGCTGGCCAACTCTGAGTTTCACAGTCGCCCGGCATGATGTTATAATGTGACAGGCCTCGGGGACATTGACAAGAGAAGGTGGGGGAGGGTAATCTTCATTCAATCCCTCGTACCATGAAACATCGAGCTCGGGGTAGGGTGGTAATGGAAGCTCGGTTGAGTTCTCCATGCTGAATGATGTCTCACTCCTTGAAAATTCATTATTATAGCAAGATCACGTGTTGAAGCAGTAGCGGAAGTTAGAGCATTTAGGGTAGGTAAGGTCAGCGGAAACCTCGCGCAACACAGTCACAGCGACACACAAAGTAAGGTCAGCCGACGACCAGGTTATGTGAGGACACCTCGCGCGACACAGCCACCGCGACATAGTGTCCGTCAGACACTGAGTCACCCTCGTCATACAGCTTCGCGACTTTCCTTCCAGGTCATAGTGTCCGCGATACATAGAGATCGTGCACCCATAGGAAGCCTGCAACAGGGAGGCAGGGAGCCTTCCTGTCGCGGTAGTGTGAACTGCTACCTACCGGATATTGTTTATATCAATAAAGGGTACAGCTGCTTCGCACCTACCATGCGTGAGACTT